AAGAGTCATCTCCTTGACTCTTCCTTCTCCAGTGCTGCTAAAACTATTAGCATCCACTCATGCTTCATGGTGTGCTTCAGGCCAGGCCAGAAACACAGTGGCTTCACTTTCTGACAATCTGCTAGCAAAGTGCAGGACAGAGTGTTCAGCACAGTCCCTGCCTTATATATCTGTTCCTCAGCAGCTGGCACTCAGCCCTCTGAGGCTGGAGTCATGTCAAATTCCTCCCGTGTCACATGTCTTTGCATCGCTGAAACAGAAAGAGCAGAGCCAATACTTGGACAAAGCCCAAACGGGAAAAAACACGGTTATCGGGCAGTGATCTTTGGTAGCTCTGAGTAATGCCTGTAAATCCGTGTGAATCAGGACAGAGATTTTCACATGTAGATAAGCATTTCTGGAAAAGTCATTAGCCTGTCTGGGACCCTCATTGAGTCTAAGACAATCCATAGCTAACTGATGTGCTTGAGTTGGCACTTCTCACTGAAATTGAAGGGTCACATAGGAGCTGTTTGCTAGATTTTCACTTAGCCAGTGGCTTTTATGCATTACCTCAAATTTTCAGATGCTGCGATGGAACTGACTGAATATCTAGTTAGAAAGGTGTTGATTAATATATTGTAGCTATCTGTACCCCAAACTTTAGAGCAGACAATCCCTGTGTTGGAGGTACCTGAGAAAGCATCTTCATTCTCTTTGGGTACATCCAGATTTGCCTGCTCTGCAGAAGTGCACATCTTTTTTCCTGTCACTTAGTTCAGGCAGAAGTTACTCAGCTCTTACCTGCATCCGTGGCAGTGTTCAAAGGCAGTTTGGATGAGGCTCTGGACACCCTGGTCTAGTGGAAGGTGTCCCTGCCCATGAAAGGAAGGTTGGAACTAGATGATTTTTAAGATCCCTTCCAACCCAAATCATCCTGTGCATCTATGATCATAAAGTTGGGATTTGTCTTTCAAGTGTAGATGCTGACATGTTTGTTGAATGTGTTGCAACTGGTTTATAATGGTTTGTTATGTTTCCTTCTTGTCTCTTAGCTGTGTGTGTAAAGAAGGGGAGATTGGAGATGGGAGAAGTTGCTATAAAGATCTCTTGAGTGAGATAAATCAGCATAATCTGAGAGGAAGATTTGCTAGGAAATTAAGCGTCGCCAAGAAAATGTTTGGTAACTGTCTTTTGACTTTGTTGGGGAATGGAGCAAACATGGGGCCAAGAGTGTGTCAGAAAAGGCTAAAATTCTTCCAACATCATAGGTCTATTTCACAGTGTATTATCATGGGCTGCAAAATTAAGCACATCACATCTCTGAACTCATCTTACCACTTCTGGGTTGTGGGATAAGTATTAGGTATTTGACAGTCCTGGTGAAGGACATGCCATGTCTGCAGAGGAGTCAAAACTTGCCTTGAAGGTGTGTTTCAAAGCCAATTGTATCAAACCACCAGTGTGCCTCCACCTGCAGAGTCTGTGATGAAGGCTCAGCAATCTTTGAGCTGCCACTGAGTGTTCTAGAGGTGATGTGTGAGTCTGCTGTGCAGAACATTTACCAAGCTCTTACATGGCCTTTTTGCCAGCACACACGAGTGGCTTTTGTAGAGATGAAAAGACCTGATTCTATGCCCCATGGTACTTTCTGAGCAAAGAATTGCTTTGCACAGCTTAGGAGATTGTTTCAGAACTCACGTACTGTGAGTGTGGGGAGTGATATCCACAAAGGTTAATTTTTGCCTTACTATAATCCGAGGAAAAATGAGAACACTTTAGCTCATGTCAAAGCTTATTATGTTAGATACCTTCTCCAGCTCATCCTCAGCAGTCTTCTCTATCTCCACTGATTTGTCAGGGGCACAGAGACAGGGCTCAAAGCTCAGCTGAGCTTTTGTAAATACCCCTCCCTGCTATGTATCAGTGTTGCCAACACTCATTTTTTGCCTATGTTTTCCATAATGATTTGTTCTATGGGCAACTGCATGAAGATCTTTGGGCTCCTGTCACTTAATAATGACCTTTTTTGATGTGGTCATTTATGATTGAGTGAAGACTAACAACTGTGGGTTCATAGCAGCTTCTCAAGAAGCATTTAGTATCAATAAATCCTGATGAGACCCAAAAATGTGTTGTTTTGAGGGGACAGCAGAGGACACATGGCCCAAGAATAAGGTAGTAAGTATGTGGGAACAAAATTATTATCAATTTTCTGCATATTTCAGCAGTGATTCAAAGTGGACCAAAGTCACCAGCCATCCTTGAGAAATCTTGTGGGCAGATATTTAAAACTAATGGCAAACAAGCTGGACTGTGATAGCAGTACCAAACTCCCTCTCCCTCTGCTTCCTTGGCAACAAGTACTAGTTACTTGCATCAGGCCAAAAATGTGTAGATTGAATTGTGCTGTTAAGAAGAGGAATAGTTATTGCTGTTGTTAAACCATACACCAAGTAACTACTTTGCATTGCCCCTCTTTTTACAGCTTCTGGTTGCTCAACGTTGCTGACTAAGTATGGGCCCTTCACAGTCTTTGTACCATCCCTTCTTCCCATTCATGATAGAATGGAATTTAATGTAAGTTTTAGCAAATTTTTGCTGTTTGGATTCTTTCCTGTCTGAGTTCTGCAGCCTGTAAAAACTGACTGAGACGAGAGAGGAACTTTGGCAGGCAATATTTATAGAAACCATCTCTTGGGAAGAGTTTTCATTGTCTGGTTAAGTTGCAGTCTCAGAGGATGTCACATCCCTCACATTATTTTAAAAATCTTTCTTCAATACTGACAGAATTCATTTGTTTTTAATGGAAGTGTAAGTCTGTCTCGTCATTGTCCATTTAAAGCTTGAACCTCCTGTGTGTGACTATTCTCAAAACATTAGGTGGCTTTTCACTGCCTGAGGTGTGGCTTTCAGAAGGGGCTAATTGATTTCGAAAGGGACTGTATCAAAGAATTGGATTTTGGGCCTAGGACCAAAAATGGTAACTCCTGGATTCACAGAAAATCCATCAGGAAAGGCTCCTGAGTTAACTAGTCTACCTGTTCCCAGAAGGATCAGTTCCACCTAAATCAGTATTGACAGAGGATTGTTTTAAAAAAGCACCAGTGATGGAAAGCCTGGAAAAGAAAGGAGAAAACTAAGTGCAAATTCATCACCTTAGACCACCTACACAGTCCAGCATGAAAAAAGGATTGTGTTTGGGGAGCCTCATCAAGTTTTATAATCTGGAGCATGCAAGGATAGTTTTTTAATTGTTCAAGTCCAATAGGTTTCTGTCTGGGGGATTCCTCTAAAGTCACTTGCAGGTTAATCAGTCTCCCTGTGCTTGAATGTGTACACAAACAGAAGCAAAAGTTTTGCCATGGTGCTACCTCAGTGACCAAAATGAAGAGGGAAGTTCGATGTTGTATGCCAAGACTTTGTGTTAGCTGTGAGAAAGGTAATGTTATTGCTCTCTCAGTAAATGAGGTTCCTGAAACAACATGTCCTTTATCTTCTTTCTGTGGTGTTCATTCCCCAAAGGATAGCACTGCTGAGCTGTTGTGCAGAATGCACATTGTTCCTGGCCTGCATTTGGTAGAAGACATGATAAAAGCCAAGACGATGTGGACCTTGTCAGGACATCGGCTAACATTCACTAGTCAGGTAAAGGATCTCCTGAACTGCTGCTTCCGTGCAGAGCAGACTGGGGCTTGAGCATAGTTTTGTTGATGCACATTCTTAACCAGAAATCCTGATTCTCTAATCAGCCTGCCTGTAATCTGAACAAGAAGCTCCTTTATGGAGTCCAAAGCAAGGTGATTTAAGACCAGACACTCCAAGCAACCACATCTCCTGTCTCACAGACAGCCAATTAGCCAGAATCTGACTTGTGAATGGAGCAGACTGGGGCTTGAGCATAGTTTTGTTGATGCACATTCTTAACCAGAAATCCTGATTCTCTAATCAGCCTGCCTGTAATCTGAACAAGAAGCTCCTTTATGGAGTCCAAAGCAAGGTGATTTAAGACCAGACACTCCAAGCAACCACATCTCCTGTCTCACAGACAGCCAATTAGCCAGAATCTGACTTGTGAATGGCCATG